TGTAATAACATCATTGCTAATCCACATTGATATTCATAAAATATTATATCATCCATTTCTGCATATTCTTCTAATACTCCAAATTTATTTAATATTGTCTCAAAAAATTTACATGAATTATCATTTTGAATTACTTGAGATGTATAAATATTCATAACTATTCCATTAATTAATATCGCTTCTTCTCGTTTATTCCTATTTAAAATAAACATTAAGAATTTATTAAATATTTCTATATTTTCTTCTTTATTTATTTTATATAATTTAGCCCCTTTTACTGCTCCACAAATCCAACTAATACTTAATTTATTCTTAACATTATTTATATCTTCTTCTCCATTAGATTTCATAAAATTATTAATTGATTTAATAACCACATTCATTACTATTTCCATTCCACTCTCATCTTCTCTATAATGACTTAAAATTTCCGGATCTGATAATAATTTATTTACTACACTTAAATATTTATCTCCTTCATTTAAACATTTATTTATTATTACTTCTATTTCGTTTTGGTTTGTTAATTTTGGAATCTTTCCATCAATTTCAATCTTTTCTATCATTGAAATTTGTTCTTCTGTAAACACTTTCCTACTTTCACTCATTTCGTTTTTCTATCTTTTTTTTCTATTTTCAAGATTACTTGATAAAAATCTTTATAGCTTTGCTTTAGTTTGTTATTGGTTCTTTTTATCCTTTCAATCCGTAAAAGTCTATTAATTTTTCGATTTTAATTTGTACTTAAAGAAATTAATAAGTTTATGTAATATATAACGAAAAAATTCATTATTTAAAAAAAAACAACAAAAAAGATAAATAACACAAAAAAGAATCAATCAAATATTAAATTATCAATCTGTGTTATTTGAATAAATTCTTAATAAAAATATTTCGATCAACTTCCATTAATTTTTCATTATATTCTACAGGACATTTAAAGTTTTCTAATTTAGGGAATACGATATCTGTGTTAACTCTTTTCTTTTTCTTTTGTATTTGTTTTTTTGTGTTATTCATCATAGGTTGACCTTTTCCAGTTATACCATAATCAACTGCATCTTTAATGAGTTGTTGATAAAAATCTCCATCATCAAATACTTCTGAAGAAGAAGTAAGGTCTTCATTTAAATAAATTTTAGTTCCTCTTAATTGTTGACTTCTTCTAAACAACCTTTCTTGGTCTTTAAGAATGGCATTGACTTGTTGAACAATACCATTTTGAGTAGTAGAGAATTTTGATATATTCATCATTGTTGTTTTTGAGTGCCATTTTTCCATGACACTAAGTCGTTGTTCATCTTTCTTTTTATTTACCTTAACTAATTTCTCTTCATCACTATCTGTTGATTTATATTCCCATTGAACTCCCCATTGTTTGTCTATCGTTTCACATAACTCTGTTGTTCTATGGAAAAGATCTTTAAATGTTCTATTTAAATGTTCTAATTCTTCATTAAATCTTTCATTATTTTCTCGTAACATTTTAATATCTTCACTTAATGGTAAACTATTAACATCTCCAAGAATTCCTTGCATCTTAACTCTAATATCTAGTGCAGTATCAAATAATTTAATTTGGTTAGAAA